TGATTTGACACTTTATATGATTTATGTACTGTTTGGTATTACGAATACGATGAATGCTTTATAGATTTAACACTCGTACTGGTTTACTTCTTTATTGGCTTCCGTACTGTAGTATTTTACTATTTATAGATTTTACTACTACTGTATGTAAATTGCACTGATTCAATGATACTATATGATTAAATAATTTTAGATCAAGACTTTTTAAGCTCATTATATGTGGTTAAATGATTTTAGTATGGTCAGGGGAATAGGAGTGTGAGACAGCTATTCATAATTCTTTAGATTCTATTTTTTTTTCTTTTGTACTCATGACAAAATATTTATGATATGATTGCATAGATCATGCGCATTGTATATAATTTTTGGGAATAAATATAGATGTGTACATTATTATTTTAAATTATAGAATATATCTTATTGTTTATTACTTATAGATGATAATAGATAATTCTGGTTGTTATTTATTAAAAAATAAATGAATAATTCTTCCATATTAGATCCTAGAGCATCACATTCTAACTCGAGAACATAGCAAATCTTATAAATAAGAGATTGATAAAGTTAAAAAAATAGGCTAATGGTGGTTGGGCAAATAATAACATAGGAAAATTATGAGGGAATCAATGGAAATGCCAATGTGATAAATGAATCAAAAAGACAGTAGAATGATCAAAGAAAATAAGGGTTTTCTCTTAGGGTGGTTAATGGAGAGATCAAATTCAACTTGAAAATTTTATAGCACTCTTTTAAGGGTAATTTTCATATAATTGGAAACCCAAAATAGAGTAATAGATTGACATCCACTATAATGGGAAAACTTTTTAGACATGCCTAAGAGGATGTCCCTGAGCTAACTTGACCTACTGAGACAAGGCTTGAGAATATTTGGCATTGTTCTCAATCAATGTCTAAGACCCATCATGTCACACCCCAGTTTGGATCACCCTCTAACAATTAAACTGGAGTATAATAGAGAAGGAAAGAAATCTATTCTGACTCTCTTAATATGTCAACATATCAAACTCCATAATAAAAAGAAGCATGTAATGTACCTCAAGTAACATCAAATATAAACAATGTAAATACAGAGCTCTACTAAAACTTTGGAAATTTACTTACATAACAAAAGGTTTATAAAGCTATCCTTAAGATCTCCTCTAAGATCTCTTTGTATACCAAAACATATTTACACAAAAAACGAACAATCACCTCTTTCTCACCTAGAGCCCTACGGGCTCCATTCCCTTACCTGCAGTATAACAACTGCTAATGAGCTAGGGCTCAATAAAATACACCAGCAATATAAAGGAAATAATAATAACATTTTAGTCATTAAGAAAGGCATAACATTAGTGACTAAATAACATGATTAAAGCACCTTCTACATGGGACAAGCTATATGAATATCTTACTACTTACCTCAACTAAATTCTTCCTCATTAAATAGTAATCTGATTCTTTTCTTTCCTTCCTATGTTTCTTTCATATTTCCAGAAGTTTACCATCACAAACTCAGTCATAACTAACCGATTTCAGCAACATTAATTTTAGAAATTCTTTTTTTTTTTCATCAGCTAACTTAACAATAGTCTTACCCCTTTTTTTTCTACTGATTTCCACATTCAGCATTCAAAATGATTGACATAAATCCACAATTTATGCATTCCTGTATTCAGAAATTCAAAAATTCCTCACTAATTTGCATACACTCACTCTTATAGAAAATATTGCTTGCGAAATACTAGTATTGCCTTTCTATATTCCTCATTACCTGAGAAAGAAATACCCAAACTGCAGCTTCTACACTAGGGGTGTCAATATTTGACACGACACGAAAATCCGACCCGGATCCGACTAAGAAAATCCGGGTTGAACCCTACCCGATTTCAAAACGGGTCGGGTTTGGGTTCAAGAAATTGACCCGTTTAAAAAACGGGTCGGGTTCGAGTTGACCCGACGGGTTGCCGGGTCAACCGCAAACCCGTTTAATTCAAAAAATTCAAACCCCGCCTCTGCCCGCTGCCCGCCCGCGCGCCAGCGCCCGCACCCGTATTCGATATTAGACCCTAGAGCATCAAATTCTAACTCGAGAACCTAGCAAATTTTATAAATAAGAGATTGATAAAGTTAAAATACGGGCTAATGGTGGTTGGGCAAATGACAACATAGGAAAATTATGAGGGAATCAATGGAAATGCCAATGTGATAAATGAATCAAAAAGACATTAGAATGATCAAAGAAAATAAGGGTTTTCTCTTAGGGTGGTTGATGGAGAGATCAAATTCAACTTGAAAATTTTAGAGCACTCTTTTAAGGGTATTTTTGATATGATAGGAAACCAAAATAAAGTAATAGGTTGACATCCACTATTATGGGAAAACTTTCTAGACACACTAAAGAGGATGTCCCTGAGCTAACTAGACCTATTGAGGCAATGCTTGAGAATATTTGGCATTGTTCTCAATCAATGTCTAAGACCCACCAAGCATATCTACAATAATCCTAAATCTTCTTAGCAAATTATTCAAGATGACTTATAACCCTCATGAAGTCACCCGAGATGAACTCCTTATTGGCTTGACCATAAGAACTGCTAAAGACCACTCAACCCATTTCTTGATAAAAACTTTCTTAACCCCCTCCTTAATAGACAATCTAAAGTATGTTCAATCATATTTGAATAAGGTATTGATACTAAGTCATCACTACTCGATACACTCATTTTAATAAATGTGCAAGATTGACTTTCCCTCCTTAGTAATTCCTAACCAACTCACATGCCTAAGCAAGAAGTCTATGACCAACTCATCATTACTCAACTTCCTTCAAGACATTACTCAACTTTGCTCAAATCATTCTTATCTTTTACTCAGAATTTCTTAGTATAGTCTAAGGCTTCGTTTGGGATGGCTTTTTTATTGCTTCTTAAAGATGCTTTCTAGTACAAAAATTAAAATTTTTATACAAAAAAACCGCTTTAAGAAGCAGTAAAAAAGTCGTCCCAAACGAGACCTAAGATATACTTAGACCATACAGGAGAACTAGTGGACAATTCCTTAAGGCTCATTTAACTTGGTCAACATCTAAGATCTAAAGGTTTGGGATGCAACCCTAACATATCAATAACAATCATCAATCACTATCTAATTGTCCTTATTACATATCGCTAGTGATAACAATGAAATTAGCACCATGGACTCAACAAGCTCTCCCTTTAAAGGTCATCAAAGTATCCTCCCATGGACCTAGATATTAAAACATACCTTTGAAGTTGCCAAGATGTAACTATACACAAATATCTTCTTCTGTTTTTTAGTTAAAAAGAAACCACTTCTTAACACCACACCTCCAACCACTTCTCAAGATAGTTGTTGATCTGCAACTCTCTCAACATAGTTTATGTTTTTTGAATATAGGAGCGGTAAAATAAAATTTATAACCCAATAAGAAGAATATTGTATTTTCAAAATTATTAACTTTGTTGCATCTAAGAATATTCATGGCGATAGAGAAATATGTAGTTTAACGACTTAGCATTGTACGAAGATCCAGCATAGAAGCAGAAGAAAGAGATAGCGTGGCGTTCATAAGAGACACCAATGTTTTTATGTGAATACCCCTGAAAAAGGAGGAAAAAAACACGGGGCCTAGCCCGGTTTGAATGAATCAACTAGTATTTACAGTTGATTACAAATGAGGCCCTTCCTTAGGAGAAGGCCTTAGCTTTATGTCATAAATATACATCATATAGAGCACATTACATGGTGGGAGTTACAATAATTAACATAGATATGTTGGTTTGGTCGGTAGGACCATGGTCGATAGGATAGAGGTCGAAAAGATTGCTATAGGCGACAGAGGTCGGAAGAACCGTAGTTGATACGAGACATGGGTCAAAAAGACTATTGTCTAGCAAGGGAGGTCGGAACGACCGTAATCGATAGAAGACTGGGGTTAGAAAGACCGTTGTCTGGTGATGGAGGTCGGAAGGACAGTAGTTGGCGGGAGACCGGGATCAGAAAGACTGTTGTCTAGCGAGGGAGGTCAAAAGGACCGTAGTAGGCGATGAAGGTCGAAAGGACTATAGTCGGCAGGAGATTGGGGTCAGAAAGATCGTTGTCTAGCGATCGAAGTCGGAAGGACCATAATTGGCAGGAAACCATGGTCAGAAAGATCGTTGTCTAGTGATGGATGTCGAAATGACCGTAGTAATAGGGATGTACTCTGGGCCTCAGGTGGTGGTCCGGCAGAACTCCGAGCATCAGGTGGTGGTTCAGTAGAAGTTCGAGCCTTAGATGGTGGTACGGCATAAGTCCAGGCATCAGGTGGTGGTCCGGTGAACTCCAAGCGTCAAATGGTGGTCCGATAGAACTTCGGGCGTCAAATTGTGGTTTGACATAACTCTGTGCCTCAGGTGGTGGTCCTACATAACTCCGTGCCTCACGTGGTGGTCCGACATAACTCCGTGCCTCACGTGGTGGTCCAGCAGAACTTCAGGCAATCATGTGGTGTTCCGACAGAACTCCAGACGTCAAGTGGTGGTCCGGCGGAACTCAAGGCCTCAAGTGGTGGTCCGGTGGAGCTCAGGGTATCAAGTGGTGGTCCAACGAAACTCTAGGCCTCGAGTGATGGTTTGATGGAACTCAGAGCCTCAAGTGTTAGTCCGATGGAGCTCATGACCTTAAGTGGTGGCCCGACGAAACTCCAGGCAGCGGTCGAGGATGAACGAGGAGGCAAGAAACTTAAATAACAAACTGTACATCTTTATTTCTTATAACAAAACAACTTTTTATAATGCGGCTCATGTTGTGACATGACGGTTGAGGGCATTCATGCCCCATTCTGAGTTGCTTAACCTAAAAAAAAAAAAGAATCTTCTCACGTTACCGCTCTTCTGTCCAATACCATAACGCCACGTTATCAGTAATCCTCTCCACGTCAACACCGACACGCTCTTGCGTGCACCAAGCAACCCGATAAATACAATTTTTTCCCCGCCCGAAGTGTGCGATAACGATGGAAAACCCGAAGACGTCACCCACCGCTGATCATGACAGCCACTGCGCTCTCCGGCGAATCCAGAAGCTCTCCCTCCATCTCCTTCAACCTTTGCCAAACCTCGACCCTGAAAGTTCAGGCGACGACAACCAGATAATCCCGTCGCCTTGTGTCGGCGGTCGTGGTAGGCCGCCTCTATCTGTGAGCCGGACGGAGTTGGTGGAATACATGAAGGGGAGACACCGCGAGATCCAGGAACGGATTTTTAGTTTCTTCGCCTCGCGGCCGGAGTTGCAGACGCCGGTGGAGATCTCCACAGCGGACCATCGGGAGCTCTGCATGCGGCAGCTCATAGCCCTGGTCCGCGAAGCCGGAATCCGGCCGTTTCGATATGCGATCGAGGATCCTTCCGTTTACTTTTCCATTGTTGAAGCGGCTGGGAGCATTGATATCTCTCTTGGGATCAAGTTGGGTGTTCAGTACAGGTAAATACCCGTCATCCCTCTTTTCAGTTTCGGCATGGGTGATTGAACAGGGGATGAGAGGAGTGTTTATGAATTCTAATCGCTGAAAAAGAGTTGCGGGATTTAGGATGAGGGATTATTGACGCGAAACTTTTGTCTTTGCATCTGCTAAATCATTTGCTTGAATTAGGGGTTGCCAACTTGTTTTCCAGGTTAAAATGAGCCTTAGATAATTCTCTTATTTGATTTTTTTCTGCATGAGATAGGTCGTAGATGGGTGGATGTACTCCATAATCTTCAAAATATTTCCATATTCTTTATATTCGAAGGCTCGAATAGCTGTGCATAATTGTTATTTCTGGCAGTGCTTCTATGAATCATATAAGTAGAATTATTTTGATTAGACGAGCTTTGGTGTTGTTCTATTCATTATAAATAGTTTACTGTCGCTTGAAATTAGTCGTTGTATGATGTTGTGATCAAGCAACCTGCTATTATGAAGGGATTAATGCTGTTTAGGAGGGAAAATTCAAAGCAGGGTCTGTTTAGGGATTTCCTTTTTTTTTTGTATGCTTTATGTAGGATATTTTCCATAGGGTTAGGTTATTTTCTGCTTTGCTGAATTGAGATTGTTCTTAGGTTTGTTTGGACTCTAGCCGACAACTAGGAATTGTGAGAGCTGGATCTTCCTCTCAAATTGAAGATCAATTATATCTTGTTTGTTTTCTTCCATCTTTTATCAAGTAAAAGGTTTCTCAAATGTTTGGCTACAAAATCTTTCTCAACTAATGTTTGCAATTTTGCTGAAATTATAATTTCAGCCAAGTTTTCCTTTCTTTCTACTTGTGTTTCCTATCAAATTGATATTAGAGTGGTGTCATAGACTGAAATCGAACCATTTCCTTACTGATTTCTACGGAATTCCCTCTTCCAACGTGCATATTTCTATTTTTTGAAGACCAAAATTAATGATTTTTTTCTTTTTAACCAAAGATCCGGGCACCGATGGCCGCCAAGAAGGTTGATGCCTTGGAAGAATGAATTTGAGGAGAGATGAGCTAAATTAAAGCAACGGTGGATGACAGAATTTCCTCCATGGAGGATAAGTTTTCCAACCTTGAGGAGATGGTGAAAAGGTGTTGGTTCTTCACAACCAAATGGTGGAATCGGAGGCAAGAGTGTCGGTAAGAGGAAATACAAATTTGCGGCGGAATAAGTTGCATCTGCCGCCCAAAATTTGGGGCCAAGCAATGCAATTTAGAAAGGAAATTGGAGGGATTTAGAGGGAAAATTTGGAAGTATGGTCTGTTAAGGAATTTCCTTTTGGGTAGTATGCCTTAAGGAGTATATTTTTCTAGGGTTATGGCATCTTGAATTTGGCTGGAATTTGAAATCTTGTGGAGTTTGTTACTCTCTAGTCATTAGCTAGAGATTGGGAGAGCCAAATTTTCCTCTCGGATTGGAGATCCCTTGTATCTTGCTTGATTTTGTTCTTTTTTCATCAAATATAGTTGTTGTGTTTGTGATTTCTCTATCTCTTCCTCAAAATCTACTGCAAGGGGGCTGTTTTTCCTAAATTCAACAGGGAATTTCTTGGTATTTTATATCAAATTGGTATCAGAAGCCCTTCGATCTAGGGTACCAATGGCCGAAAGGAAAGTAGAAGTGTTGGAGGGGGAATTAAGCCAACTGAAATCAGATTTTGTTGAAAAACTTTTAGATTTTCAAAACCAATTTTCATCCGTACATGAAAAGATGGATAGGAATTAAGTTTGCAGTCGTGGAAGATATGCTGAAGAAGTTGCTTGAAGCCAAACCCAATACAACGACCTCCGAAACGAAGGAAGCCACTGATGGACAATGAAGAGGAGGAAACCCTAATCCGTTTAGGGGTGGGGAGAATCAAGTGTTGGAGATTCTGGAGGGAGAAGAATGGATGCCTCCACTAGAGGCTATTTCTACGGAGGAGATGAGTATTAGGTACGAGCGACGGGGCGCTGATTTTGTAAGAGGGGTGGATTATGAGCACCATGGTCTGATTTTGAAAGAATAGGGATTTTAGAAAAGAGTCGGGGTATGGCACATAAGAGAAGATCACACACTTGGGTAGTACCACTCTTTCGGGGAATGGGAGACTATGAAGGGTTCAGGGGAAATGAAGGCGATCTGTCAGTAAGAAGCTGAAGATGCCCATCTTTGAAGGCGAGCATGTACATGGGTGGATCTACAAGGTAGAGAGTTACTTCGCTATCAATAGGTTGACAAAAAGAAGAGAAATTGATGGCAGTTGGTCTATGTTTGGATTGGAAGGTATTGGCCTAGCACTAGTGGAGAGACATGAGGTTACCTGTTTGGAGGGGACTTTCTATGAGCAGTTCTTCGCCTCAAGATTTTTAATTGCACAATTAGGTATTGAGGCGTTTTTTGTTCGTGGGGAGAAGCGTAAGCCTCAAGGTGTAATCCTCAAAATAAAATAAAAAAAAATTGCATAAAGTGAAAATAAAGGTCAAAAGTAATTTTTTATATAATACCGAAATAATTTGTTAAATGTTATAATGAAAATTGAACAAGATGTAAAGTGACAAGTGATAAATTATGTGAAATAGAATTGAAATCCAAATATTATAAGAGCAAAACAATGTTAAATATAAAAATTGATAAAAATATCATATAACATCAAGTTTAACTCCAAATTTTTTCTTTATCAATTCCTTACCTATTTACTTTTAACTCCTAACAAAAATTAAAATAATTGGCAACAACCCAAAAATCATCTGCACAATCATGACTGATGCAGATCTTTATTTGAGTTGTCAGGTAACAAATTGGTCTATATCCTGTTTTATCCGATGGAGTCGAATGCCTCTCAATTTGCTTCTTAATTTATTTCAATCATGCTCATCTTTTCTAAATATTTTTCATCAACATAAATATTAGATTAATCCTACAAAATTATTAGGGTGGTGGTGTGCGGCTTTCAAGTGATCATCAGTGACGGCTACGATGATGTTATTGCGACAAAGGTTGCAAGCTGGAGGTAGAGGCAGTAGAGAGAAAGTTTTACGGCTTGAATGTGCACGAAGGCATGATTTATGTTAGTTTTAACAAAAAAAATATACAAAGGGTGAGGCGTAAGCCTCATGCTAGTGAGGCAAGGCCTGCCTCAAGGCAGGCCTCAGCCAAGTTGAGGCGCAAGCCTCATAAAAAAAGTTAAAGGCGTAAGCCTCGAGATATTTTTCACTAGAATTGCACTAAGGTGAGCCTCTTATTGCTCAATTTTAAACAATGGGTGAAATTAGTGGGTATCGAGGGCTATGTGGTGATGATGGGTACCATAAACGTGGAGATGGGTAGATGAGTGTGTAGGGGAGTCGTGTTGATGATATATGGGGTTCATATGAGGGAGGATTTTCTCCCATTAGAGTTAGGAATCACTGATGTCATCCTGGGGATGAAGCAGCTCTATATCTTAGCAAGGTCAATTGGGGGGCACTGTTGTGGTGGAGGGAAGAAGTATGGTGATTCAGGGAGATGCAGAGTTGTCCAAGGCCATGGTGTCTCTCAAAACTATAGTCAGGGCCATACAAGAGGTGGGGGGAGGATTTTTTGTGGAACTGCATAGCTTAAAAGGGATCAGATTAAAGGAAAGGGGAGATATTTCACTTTCGGTGCAGTGACTCATACAATAGTTCAGTGAGATTTTTCAGCCACCTCAAGGCTTACCACCATAGAGAGAGCAAGAGCACGCCATTACCTTGAGGGAGGAAGTGACACTCATCAGTGTCAGACCATATCGTTGCCATCAAATTTAGAAGGATAAGATAGAACGATTGATCAGAGAGATGTTGGAGGCAGAGATCATCCGACCGAGTATTAGCCATTTTTCTAGCCCAATATTACTGGTCAAGAAGAAGGACGGGAGCTGGAGATTCTGCGTGGACTATCAGGCCCTGAATAAGGAAATGATGCTAGACAAATTTCCCACTCGGTGATAATGAGCTATATGGAGCTGTAGTATTTTCACAGATGGATCTGAAGTTGAGGTACTATCAAATCTGAATGAGAGAGGGGGATGTCCCCAAGACAGCTTTTATGGCATATGAGAGACACTACGAGTTCTTGGTGTTGCCATTCGATTTCACCAACACCCATGCTATCTTCCAGTCCCTCATAAATAGGGTTTTCCGACTATATCTCTGAAGGTTCGCACTAGTTTTCTTTGATGACATATTGGTGTACAGCAGGTCGATGGAGGAGCATTTGGAGCACTTGAAGGTCGTCCTGGATGTGTTATAGGAATATCACTTAAGTGTCAATCTGAAGAAGTGTTGCTTTACACAATCCAATGTGGAATACTTAGGGTATGTGGTATCTCATGACGGGGTGGCAGCGGATCAGGCCAAGATTGAGGCCATGCAAAAATGACCTCTACTTAGGAATCTGAGAGAGTTAAGGGGCTTCCTAGGGCTGACTGTGTATTACCAGAGATTTGTGAGAGGATATAGCACTATAGCATGGCTGTTGACGGAGCAGTTGAAGAAGAATAACTTCATATAGGGAGATTAGGGTATGTGGTATCTCATGAGGGGGTGGCAGCGGATCAGGCCAAGATTGAGGCCATGCAAAAATGACCCTACTTAGGAATCTGAGAGAGTTAAGGGGCTTCCTAGGGCTGACTGTGTATTACCAGAGATTTGTGAGAGGATATAGCACTATAGCATGGCTGTTGACGGAGCAGTTGAAGAAGAATAACTTCCTATGGGGAGAGGCAGCTTCCTAGGCCTTTAATCGCTTAAAGAAGGCGATAACTACCATTTTGTTTTTAGCCCTACTAGATTTCAGGCAGATTTTTATAGTAGAGACTGATGTCTCAGGGTACGGATTGGGGGAAGTACTTATGCAGAATCATAGACCCATAGCCTACTTCAACCAAGTATTGACAGCCAGAGCAAGGTTGAAGCTCATTTATGAGAGGGAGTTGATAGCCATTATTTTAGCAATTCAAAAGTGGCGACCTTATTTATTGGGTCGGCATTTCCTTGTCAGGACAAATCAAAGGAGCTTGAAATAATTGTGTGAGCAGAGGATGATTATTGAGGAGCATCAGAGGTGGTTGTCCAAGTTACTGGGCTATAACTTTGAGATCTAGTACAAGCCAGGATTGGAGAATAAGGCAGTTTATGTCGTATCTAGATGTGTGGGGGAGCTCTAGGAGATGATCATTTCAATACTAATAATGGTAGATTGGGGGCTCTCAAAGAAGAAAGTATGCAGGACGAGGAGTTGAGGAAGATTGGAAGGGATCTACTAAAGGATGAGAGCAACCACCCAGGCTATTCCCTAGAGGGAGAGAGACTGTTGTACCAAGAGAGATTTGTGATGCCACAAACCTTGGTTCATATTCCCTACATATTGTAGAAATTTTATGGGAGCGCAGTTGGAGGTCATTCGGGGGTGCATAAGACATATAAAAGATTAGCAGCATAACTGTATTAGGAAGGGATGCATAAGGATGTGGATGAGATGGTTGCTAGGTGTGAGGTATGCAAGAGAAATAAGTACATGACTATGGATATGGCTCCAGGGAGATTACTTCAATCATTAGCTCTTCCAGACAGTGTGGGAGGAGGTTACCAAGAAATTTATAGATAGGCTGCCATGATCTGAGGGCTTCACAATAATTTTGGTGGTGGTTGACAGGTTGAATAAGCATGCTCATTTCATTCTCTTACGACATCCCTACACGGTAGTTACATAGCAGCAACATTCATCAGAGAGGTGGTTAAATTGCATGAAATCCCGAAGTCGATATTATCTAATCGAGATAAGTTGTTTCTCAATCAGTTCTGGAGGGAGATGTTCAAGTTGCAAGGAATAGTTCTTAAGAGAAATACCGTTTACCACCCTCACACAGATGGAGGTAGTCAACAGAAGTCTTGAGAATTACCTATGGTGTTTTGCATCAAATACACCTTGGATGTGGGCCAAGTGGCTAGTGTGGGCAGAGTATTGGTACAACACTTCATATCACTCAGCTTCTCAAATGATCAAGGAAGTGCTGATAAAATGGAAGAACTTATCTGACTACGATGCCACTTGGGAACTGTACGAGCGAGTGAAACTTCAGTTTCCATCATTCCACCTTGAGGGCAAGGTTAGTCTTTGGAAGGGAGGTATTGCTAGACCGGGCATTAGGCCGGTCCAGCCATTCCAAAGTGGACTAGTCCGGGTCTACATGAGGCGTTGCATCTGCCGCCCAAAATGTGGGGCCAAGCAACACTATCTAGGAAGGAAATTGGAGGGATTTAGAGGGGAAATTTGAAAGTATGGACTGTTTAGGGATTTTCTTTTGGGTTATATGCTTTAAGGAGTATGTTTTCCTAGGTTAGGGCCTCTTGATTTTGGCTAGAATTTGAGATCTTGTGGAGTTTGTTAGGCTATAGTCGTCGGCTAGAGATTGGGAGAGCCGGATCTTTCTTTCGGATTGGAGATCCCTTGTATCTTGCTTGATTATGTTCTTTTTTCATCAAATATAGTTGTTGTGTTTGTGATTTCTCTATCTTATTCTCAAACTATGCTGTAAGGGGGTTGTTTTTCCTAAATCCAACAGAGAATTTCTTGTTTATTTCATTTCATATTCAGATAACAAAATTTTGTATGATTTGGTGAGATCAATCACTTATGAAGATGATAGATGTTGATCAGCAATTTGTCTTTGGTTTGGTTAGAGGAAAAAAGATGCAGCCACTTGCTACACACGCCAATTTTAACTAGTAACAATTCCAAATTGGGAATCTCATAACATATAGGAAGAAAATTTGGCTCCAAAAAATGTAATAGTTTTTTATCCATCGTGCATGCAGAATTTGAAAGAAATGTTAAACTGATGCTGCTTTCTATTTTGTTTTTTCCTAATCTCATAATTTGGTGATCAGAATCGGTTAATCAGCTTCTGCTGTTCTCAAAACTTAAAAAAAAAAGTTATTTTTTTTTTCGAATAAACTTAGAATCCCGGTCCACATTTTACACATTAAGGTGAGAAACCGTTGTAAGTGCAGATGGTTTGAAGTCGTTTTCGAGACTCCATAAATATCTGCTCTCACCGGAAAAAATAGAATACAGGTTGTTCCTACCTCCCTAATATTATAGAGTTCAAATGAAAAAAAATAGGTAAGTAAGAAAAAACGAAAGAAAATTAAAACAAAAAAATACTGTGTTTGTAAAATTGATTCGGTTTTCTTTCCATGCAGTCTTTGGGGAGGCTCAGTGATGAATCTTGGAACTAAAAAGCACAGGGAAAAATACTTTGAGGGCATTGATAATATAGATTATCCTGGCTGCTTTGCTATGACAGAGCTCAATCATGGTGAGCGTCTTATTTCCTTGATTCGTAATATGACATCTTAAATGATCAAATTAATATATGAAAGACGAGGTTTATTTGGCAATTTTACAATTGTGCAAACAGGATCAAACGTTCAGGGCCTCCAGACAACTGCAACATTTGATCCTCTCACTGATGAATTTGTAATCAAAACACCAAATGATGGGGCCATCAAATGGTGGATTGGTAATGCCGCTGTTCATGGAAAGTTTGCAACGGTCTTTGCTAAGTTGATTTTACCCCTCCAAGGCAAAGGAGGAAAATCTGTTGATATGGGTGTTCATGCTTTTATAGTCCCCATAAGGGATATGGAAACACATGCTACTCTTCCCATGGTTGAGATACATGACTGTGGCCATAAAGTAGGTCTTAATGGGGTGGATAATGGTGCACTGCGCTTTCACTCTGTGAGAATCCCTCGCGACAACCTTCTGAACCGTTTCGGAGATGTTTCTCGTGATGGGAAGTACACAAGTTCTCTCCCAACTATTAATAAGAGGTTTGCTGCTACACTTGGGGAACTGGTAGGAGGAAGAGTTGGTCTTGCTTATTCCTCTGTGGGGGTTCTCAAAGTTTCTGTCACTATTGCTGTAAGATATTCTCTACTCCGACAGCAATTTGGTCCTCCCAAGCAACCAGAGGTCAGTATACTCGATTACCAGTCACAGCAGCACAAGCTTATGCCCATGCTTGCATCAACATATGCTTTCCACTTCGCCACTCTATATCTGATAGATAAGTATTCGGAGATGAAGAAATCTCATGATGATGACATTGTTAGTGATGTACATGCTCTTTCTGCTGGTCTGAAGGCTTATGTGACATCGTATACAGCTAAATCAATCAGTGTTTGCCGAGAATCATGTGGCGGGCATGGTTATGCAGCTGTCAACCGCTTTGGTATTCTTCGCAATGACCATGATATATTCCAAACATTCGAAGGGGACAACACTGTTCTCTTGCAGCAGGTAAAGACTTCACATTTTGATTCTGGTATACTAAATTTAGTGTCTCTAAAAATCCTTCGGCTGTGCAGGTTGCAGGTGACCTCTTGAAGCAATATAAGTCAAAGTTTCAAGGAGGGACTCTTACTGTGACATGGAATTACCTTCGAGAGTCCATGGCTTCATATATATCCCAGCCAAATCCTGTCACTACTCGATGGCAAAGTGAAGACCATCTTCGTGATCCAAATTTCCAGCTGGATGCTTTCAGGGTTAGCTAGCACTCATTTCATGTTATGGTCTTATGTTAATGTGTCAAAACTTGTTCTATTGGGTCATATTGCTTTTTTCTTCAGTACCGAACATCTCGATTGCTTCAAAGCGTAGTGTTGCGCCTACGTAAACATACCAAGACCCTTGGTGCTTTTGGCGCGTGGAACCGGTGTTTGAATCATCTCCTGACACTCGCAGAGTCTCATGTAGAATCTGTCATCCTTGCAAAATTCATAGAGGCTGTTCAAAAGTAAGCTCTACCTATTTTATTCTAAACTTTATAGGGATACTTAAATGTTTGATTTTGTTCTCTACTGGTACTTGTGCAGATGCCCAGATAAGACCACAGGGAATGTTTTGAAGCTTGTGTGTGACCTCTATGCATTGGACCGCATATGGAATGACATAGGCACTTACCGTAATGTAGACTATGTAGCTCCTAATAAGGCTAAGGTATGATTTGATCGAAATAGGTTGTTGAGAATAATGACTCATTTTGTATAGTAGAATCATGATTTGGAATCATAATTTCAGGCAATACACAAGCTGGTCGAATACTTGAGTTTCCAAGTTAAGGGGGTTGCAAAGGAATTGGTGGACGCCTTCGATCTTCCTGAAATTGTGATCAGGGCGCCCATCGGCATGGCGTCAGAAGCATATTCTCAATATACAGAGTATGTTGGGTTTTAGTTCACAACACTTCATGCATCGCAGCTCTGGAGAAAGCCATCTGGTCTTGGTAAACATATCCTTAAAGTTATAATACAGAAGCAAATCTTCCATAGTTTTTTACTGTTATGCATGTATTTATCTACAACTTTTCTTTAAGTTTAAAAGCGTATGATATTGTTGGCATTTCACTATAATCATGATAGCCTCAAAAGCAATGCTTTTCTGTTTCGTTTATAATTTGTAATAAATCGATAGAAATTAGAAAATTGTTATACTCTCAAAGATGATTCCTCAGTACATGTTGGAAATGTTTGGTTCTGTTGAAATCACTCTTGGTATTATAAACGATGTAGCAAAGTCCAGTTAAGGCTAACAAATGTAGATCTTCTGTTAATGCATTTTCTCTATATTGACCAGTTTTTCTTCTTTGTAGCAGTTCTCTGTAGAGGCTAAGGTTTTGTTTGAGATTGTTTTTTTTATTGCTTTCTATATGAGTAATGTCACAATGCATGTTATATAGGAGTAATGTTTGAATAAAATGCTGATTTAATATTACTTATTTTTTATGGTGAAAATATGTTGTTTTGAACGGTATAATGCATTTTTTTATTTATTTACTATGTAATATGAGGTTGAAATGGCATTATTAAGAGGTATGGGAAGCTTTCCTCTTATTCTTCCTTTTTCTTACAAATATCTTATAATATAAAAAAAGCATTTGAAATAATTAAAGTGTCATAGTCATCTCTCTCTCTCTCTCTCTCTCTCTCTCTCTCTCTCTCTCTCTCTCTCTCTCTCTCCATAGAGCTAGATTATAAAACTTAGTATATTCATTAATTTGTTAAGCGTATTTTCCAATTTCAGACAACCATATGAACTCCCATAATAAGGCAATAAATCATTGATTGTCCATAAAGCAACCCTCCTGCACAGAAAATAGAAATTTCAGGACGACAACTGTCTAGGCACTCACAAAATTGTCTTAATTTGGATTTAGATAAAGGCTTCATTTGAGACGACTTTTTTACTATTTTTTAAGTAATTTTTAGTATAAAATTTAAAATTTTTAACTAAAAAATCACTTTAAGAAGTAATAAGAAAGCTATTCCAATTGAAGATAAAGATTGTGTCCTTGTTAAGAAGCGAATTTCATGTCAAATAAAATACCCGTTCTCGAGTTTCATTGATGTTTTATCATCATTCAATTTCTTCATTCTGTATATTACAAAGAGGATATTTTGTTTTTATTTTTTTACAAAGAGGATAATTTATACTTCTATAAATACACTTTTTGGTTAATAATAATTTTTCCCCAAAATTTATACTCCATGAATGTAATTTCTATGTCAATGTTTCATGTATGTTCTCATCAACATAATGGACTCCGGAGTAATATGGACCACCTTTATCTCTTTTATAGTTTACTAAGAATAAAAATAAAACATAAGATTAGTATTATTTTCTGAAAATAGCAATTTACAACTGGAGCGTTAAGGCTTGTTCTTACAGATATGCGATTGAGTGCAGCTTTCAGTCTATTCTATTTGCATCCCCCGATTCATTATTTCTGTGAAGGTGACTGGTGTGGCAGAGTCAAACTAAAAACCTATAGTTTGTTTATATTCCATGGAAGCTGCATCATTTGACTTCTGAACATCTTCGAAAATCTTGACCGCTGCTTCAGAAACCTTTGTTAACTGATCAAACCACCTCTTCAAGCTTGTCTGCAAACCGCTCAATCTCCAGTTCTCTCTGCCTTTTTTCTCCTCTCTTCCAACACTTTCTAGCATATTCTCAATCTCCAGGTCACCATACCATTTTTCGTTTTCTTTGGACTCAATTATTGATACTACACCTCCAATGGCATCGCAGAGTTCTTTGTATGCGAGTGAGTTTATTCCAGCCAACCAATTTTGGCATAGAACAAATATAGGGGGAAAAACAGTTTGGCGAGGAGGGAAGGCGGTTGCCACCTTTCTGTATTTGTGGCATTCTCGGGGTGGTAGAATACACTTTTGAAGCCACATGTTCAGAGCTTCCAAATAGTATTTATGAGCGTTGATCCAACTTGTAAAGCAGGAAAGATAGCAGTTTACCTCACCGTGAAAGTGCATGAGAGTTTGCCTGTAGGATTCATCCTTAAATGCTATCCTTGAACTCCTAACATGGTAGGCTAAGGAGATTGTGATGAACTGTGCATGGTGGCACTCAAGCATCACTTTCCACATTCGAACCAACCTGCGATTGGATCGAGTAAATGGCTGACCGAAAATTGAATGCACATAAGAGTTCAGCTAGGTAATGTGCTATCAAGAAAGACATAATCATATTAACTGGTTTGATGTACACAGTCAATACTTCTTGTGATTCAAATTTAGGACCTTTAGATACTAATAGAGGCAACCTAACCATTACTTCAGGCCTAAACTTGCACTATAATAGCATTTTTCATAAGAGAGTATCCCTTGGTTGATGTCTTTGGAAGAATTTGAAGTGATAACTAATCCTACCCCTTGAAATTTCTTGATTTTTAGGTTATTTGAATTGCATAACTTTTGATGGCTAACTTAGAATAATATGTGTTGTTTAAGCTAAACAAAAGCAAATAATTTTAGGAGTTGAGGTGTACCCATTTGTCAATTCCAGAAGCTGAGGTTGCAATTCTGCATCTCTTAGTTTCTCAATCTTTTTAGATATATAATCAACTGCTTGAACTGAAACTCTTAACTGGGAATGCAAGTCTTTCACAGCAGACCGAGTTTTGTCAATTGCCTCAATACTCAAGCCCCTTGCATATTGGTGCCTGAGCAGTCTGCATTTATGATCGAATTCCTTTCTGATAGTTTCACTTGCCTAGAGAAATCATAAATCAGAAAGCTGAAAATACGCAAATGTAGAGAAGTTGGCATTCATATTGTAATCTAGATGATTGGAAATACAGGATGCACTGAGCAAATATTTAAATTTGCACAATTAAGTTAGATGAAGATTTAGCACAATAGCCTTTTCTACATTTGATTGGGAGCTAGAAAATGTGAGAGAAAACACCCAAACCTAAGTGCACAAAAAAAAAGGATAACAAGTTATAGGAATAATTCGAGATTCAAGCGGTTCGGATAAAAAATTATATAATCATGATTGGGGAGAGAGAGGATCCAATTCACTATAAATAAGTCACAAAAGTATATAAAATAAAAGGGGTATGAAAAAAGCACTGTCCCAACTCAGTTATACCCAATATAATAAAAAAAGAAATATCTCAAATCAAATAAAAGATAGAGCAAGTCAAAAGTGCTAATAAACAAAGAAAATTTTACTTATACCAAAAGCATTGACTTGAACTTTCTCTATGACTCCTCTCAAACTCGAGTTTCAATGTCCTAATGCCCCAAAGGTCTGAGCACCAAGCGATCTCAGCAAAGTCAAATGCTGCCTAAGCTTAACACATACGACAAATCTTTGAAGCGTATTTGTTGCACAATAATTTGGATATACCCTTTATACGTGCGTTAAAATAAACTAAGGGGCTAATTGAATGGCTGGGTTTTTGGTGTGAAGTGAAGCAAACTCAAGAGTTTTGAAATTTGGTTGTTTGGATGATTGTGATTCAAATGCAAAATATGTTGAATTTCATGAAAAATTGCGCCATTAAGTTCTTTAGAGAAAACTTCTATGAGAAATCTTCTAGATGACAGATAAGATACGCAGTTCAGACCTTCTAGCTTTTCCTTAATGAGGTGCTTGTCAACCTTGTATGCTTGATGAAATTGGGTCTTCTTTGATTTACACAGCATGTTAGTTGTTCTCATTCCTTTAAATTCTAAACGAATGCTCATGTAAATTTAACCTTTAGATCTTTATATAAAAAAATATTCATCACATCATCCTGTTAAAGTTGGCAATTGATGTGAGCTGCTAGAGGTAATAGAAATTATTCATCTTTGCCTCAGTGGCAAATGTCACCTGATAATAAACTCCAAATATTTATATGTAACCTTGAGCAACTAGTCATGATTTTTGTCTTTCATAGAACTTTCAGCTTAGACTTTGTGGGCTACGAAAATTCGCGCCTCGGCCTCTCTGTGGACCCTTTCATATTTCTTTGTTCGGGTCGTTGAGGAGAATTTAACATTTAAATTCCGAGGAAATTTTTCAAAAGTCATGTTGGGTTTGAAATAAGACACTACTCAGAGATTTCGTCCTCATTTTGTGAGGACTTTAGATATGGGATCAGGTTTCCTATAGGCGCAAGCCCCTATACTTAATTATGCCTTCTGATAACGAGAGAGAACTTTCGATTAAGGCTAGTTGTCAATCGGATACTTAGAGATAAGTCGTATCTGGCGTATAGTAACAGCATGGGTTTAGGTATTTGAGAATTTGGTATTTAAAATTAGAAATTTCATCATCTTGCACTTAACGCGAATGATAAGAGGAAGTGATGATGAGCCCGATCAAGATCCCATGGCTCCGTCATCTCAGGCCATTATAGTACTTTGTCTACTTAGTTAGAGGAGGTAGTCAACCCAACCCTACAGAAGGATCCTTGTCGACAACCATGGGTTGCTTTGTCCAAGGGTACCTTATAGAACTGAAGTGAGTATTTGTCTAAGGGGATAAATTTGAATTCACCTTAACTAATAGAGGGCATTATGCTCTATCGATTATATCTTATAGATTCATGTCTCAAGAATTTTACGTTATTGGAGAGCATACGGGTTATGACCATAACCATAATACAGTGGATTCATTGGACCAAGCCACTAGTTCAGAGGGTCACGGTCATAATCGTTAACCATGTTAAACCATCACATCAAACCTCGGGTTAATTGCGAAGCCATCTAGCCAAGCTGCCGATTAGAGGACCAAAGTGACGTCCTTACTGGCGGAGATAGATTGAGAGTGAATCCTTGTGATATTCTTGACCAGACATCTGCTCTTTGTGAGCTGAAGTGTATTTTGAAACTTGTCCACCTCGACAAACTGTTGCGGAGAATGATGAGCTTTGCTTTAAGCATTTTAGTGATTTTTTTTTTTTTAATATTTTTTAATTTTGGAGTTTTAAATTTTAATAAGCATTTTAAAGGCATTTTAAATGCTTGGAGTATTTTGAATACTTGAAATTAACCCTTTCGGTTGATATCTAATTTCAACACAGCCATTATCGGGGTATTTATGGGCAATTTTATTTGGTTGAACCTTGTCGACTCTATCAATTGTTGATAGATGATCAGGTTCGGGCTTCATGCCTTTATTAGTGAATTTTCTTGATTATATGCCTTAAAATCCTAATATTAACATATTAAAATAAATTTCTCGGCCGACTTCGTGAACGTTTATTTATTTAATAGTTCGAGTTGTAATGAATCTTATCTACTCACATAGAAGGATCGGACTCGAACTTGATTTTACTTATTGACCCGCGCAGCATTCTCAGATGTTACATGTACGCACAGACATGCTCGTCGGGGCCCATGCGGGTATATGCTTGCATATGCATTTCTTTGCATTATATTTGCATACTTGCACGCACATTTATGCTTTCATTCGTATATGATGTGCTTGCATGTGCATTTCTGTATTTGTGTGTATACATATTGCAGTGTATGTGTGAGAGCATTTTATAATATTTAGTTATAGCCGACTATGCAAGTGATTATTGCTAACAGGCAAGCAGGATTTTATCTTGGAACCAGTAGACATTTTTTGTCCGCTTATATGCATGTTACAGATCCAGTGGCTTGGCGTTACACTATGGTTGTTTTTTGCTTCTTGCAGATGGGCTTTTGTTGAGAAATGCACAAGACTTCACTTCAGAATTTGCACACGCTTTCTGCCCACTTGTATGCATGTTGTGGATTCGGTGGCGTGGCCAAATTTGAGCATGAGAGGACATTTTGGTAATTTTTATCATGTTGACTAGTTAACATAGTCAAACCACCTAGGATGGGCTCTTGGGAGATCCTAAGGGTCATTTACATAGGTTTAGGTGAATTTGATTGCATGGATGTGGAGTTTGGATTTGGGTAGTGTATGTGAGATATTTGAATAATTTATGTGAGTTGAACAAGTTAATTCATCATGATTTGCTTCACATTGAACTTGAGTTTACTTGAGACATAAAATGGAGTGCACTTGAGGGATTTGGGTTTTAGGTTTGATTGCAATCAAGGGTTTGGCTTTGGATCATGAATTTTTGGATTTTGATGAATTTTTGGATTTTGAGGTGATGTAGTCGACTTCATTCAAAAATGAGGCCAACAATAACATGCCATTATCTCAATGCATCTGGTTTGCTACTCCAAAGTATTTCACGAGAATAAATATCTTTTAACTCATCTTAGTGTAAAACACCCAATGGTTTATCTAGAAGAAGAGAAAAAACCCTATGGTTTATCTAGAAGAAGAGAAAAAAACCCTATGGTTTATCTAGAAGAAGAGAAAAAAAAATTATCAGACCTAAAAACCAATATTCAAAATCCAAGGTGTGTGCATTAAGATTCATTTCCCCTAGATGTTTTCAAAACTGTCTCTTCTAAATAACAATGCAACTAAAAGATCATAGCAGGCAACTGTAGATAGCGCCCAGGACTCCCTAACAACATCAAATTTATTGATTCCAGATTCAGTTTAGATAACCATATAAAGTTTTGATTAAAATAAGCTTTCAGTACTCATATGATACATACCTTCACTTCATCAAAAAGCTTCTTCTCCCATGCATACAACCTTTCCAATGTGCATGAATGGCTTCCCGATATCATACAAAATTCATCACTGAAATCACCACCATCATCACCACCGCTCTCAAAAGAATGTGCTAAGGCAAGATGGTTTTTGCATGAAGAAGATGATGATAGTGATGAAACTGGGCGATTCCAGGTAATAACTTTCGTGACTGGCTCTAAATTCTCTGCATTAAATATTTGGTAGCAGATACATTTTGAATTATTGACATCACTACCCAATACCAATACTGTCTATACAGAGAATATTAAGGCGAGCACTGAAAACCAACTTACTATGATGCAGCGCATTCTCATTCTTGCAGCAGGAAAGTAGAAAGGATGAAAGAAATCTTGAACTAGGCCATTTTCCTGCAGGAAAAAAAAAAGCTTAAAACCACAAAAAATCAATTGAATAAATGACTAGAACATAGAAAGCAAGCATATCAACGCCAAAATCTATGACGTTTAGCTTCACACCTAGTATCTCTGTAGAGATGTTAAACCAGATTTTCCTAGTCTCTAGCATCTTTAATATATCAGTACCAGCCTCTGCTGCTCTAAGAAACCGAATCTCAATATCTTTTATACTGGACAAAAAGTCCTTTGCCCTGTGAGTGATGAACTCAGAAGCATCCTCTCTTTCCGCACATAGTTGTGTATAGAAGTCAACTTTCTTCATCTTTGATCCATGAAGCTCCTCAACTGATTCATAATGCAGTCTATTTCTGCAAAGATCAGCATATTTAACATTTTCATCCAAAATAATGGCATCGATCAACTCCTCATTTCTTCTATAGGAATTCAGCAACTGTTCTTCAATCAAAGGAACTACATCCGATTCCTTAAACTGACGCAAATTTATCAACTTAGAAAACTTTGGGCTTGGAGAGTCATAACACTTATCCAGATTCTGAAACTTCTCACAGACTTCTGGATCGCCGAGATCAAAATAATCCCATGAGGAGCTTATCTGTTCGTTGAGAAGATTAATCTTTGATGAACCAACTCTATGTATAACATCATGACTTGCAGAACTCCTCATATAACATAAGGGGCTTCCTTCAGCCATGTGAGTAGGCGACTGCGAAGAAAAAGAGGAAGGAGATAGTGTTCTCTCTAAATCCAAGTTGGCTAACGCTTGCTCAACTGGAATCTCAAGCTCCACAAACTGCCTTAGAGCTGAACCTATATTGCGCAGGGATTGAATGTAGCAAAGATGAGCAGCTGAAAGAGCATATCTTGAATCAATGGCTTGCTTAACATATTCAGTGCGCTCTTTGCATAGATGCAGAGGATCAGAATTACCAGGTTTGGAAACTGAAACACCCATGGCAACAAAGCCTTAGAGGCTTAGCCGAATGAGGTCTTATTTCTGCATATCAAGGCTTCTAATGGCATGATTATCAGGCAAAAAACCCTTAGAAACAATCAAAGTATGTAGATGAACTTCTCCATACCTATCATGACTACTTTTTGCATTCTCTACATCAGTAACCCATTCAAAAGATACCAACATTGCAGAGGGCGAAAGCTTCCTTCTTCCTCCAGGTCTTTCTTAAAGTACGAAGCATATCAAACCCTTTGCTTTTCTTTAAGTCAGAATTACAACTTTGAGAAGCCTTTTGCTTTCTAAGGTCCACTACTCCAACTTTAATGAAAACTAAGCGCAAATGTTATGCTACACCACCTTCGAAAAGCGGTTCCTCAGACCACCTAAATAACCAGAGAAAACTCTAAAAAACACTCCGTAGAAATGAATCAAAAGCCATATTTTCTCTTCAATCCGCCTATTATGAGCCGAAAGGCCAGCAGCCACATTAGTTTTCCATTAAAAAAAACTTTTCCGCTGCTTCCTTTCCCCTATTCACAAAGCAGCCTCCTTTACCAATCGTTCGAAGCATGAGATTCGGAGAATATTGGCACGGGAGAGGTGATAAAGAAGAAAGAACGTAACGCAGCGAAGACAGGACAAGTAGAAAAACCGAGTCACGAGTCATGTGAAGAGAGAGAGAGAACAAACACTGATATTTCAGCTCCGCAATTCAGTGCTTTGTCCATTCTACTTTTTAGAACTTCAACGCCTTTTGGAGGACCTCACTTACCGCCGAAATCACTTTATTTAAGATGGAGAAAAAGGGGCATTAGCTATCATTCCTGTATATAAAAATATTACAGTAGTACTGAAAGCTAACCCACCCGGAGTTATCCAACGGTAACCTGTAAAAAATATGGGACGGCGCGCTCCATAGTCATCACCATCCCACAGCAGGCCAAGATTTTTTTTTTTTTTTTTTTGGGACATGGAGTATCAGCCTTCGGCCACTAATCTCCCCAGTCGACTTAGCGGACAACCCACCCCATACTCATCCGGGCCAACTCTTAAGGCTTTGCACGATTGCCATGGGATTCGAACTCGGTACCTGGCCTAAGGTCAGCCAGCTCTTTACCACCAAGACAACCCGTGGTGGGTACAGCAGGCCAAGATAAACTCTCCTACTTTTCTTTGATATGATTGGTGGCGTAATTAATTCTTAGATGGGCCTATCAGCAAGCAGTCTCACAGGTGCAGGACTCATAGTTATTTTCTCACAACTTAAGGGGTTGTGCCACGGGAGAGGAAAATCGAATATAAGTTGGAGCATTCTCAATTATGCTCGCCCAAAAACTCAGCTAAGCCTGGTGGGGTAATTCCCCTACTTCAATGTGGGGAATCGACTACCCCATTATAGTCATGTGATATTATAAGAAAATACCATCGAGCCAAAAGCGTACATCCACATCTTGTGCACCAAATAAATTGAACCTAGCTTAAGATGAAGGGAGCTAGAGTTCGTTTGCTATTGGGCTCGTGTACTAATTTGGTTCGATTTTTTTTTATCGAGTAAGCATTTGAATACTATTCATCAAAATTCTTCAAATTTTTTTCAACCAACAAGATAAATGTTTAAATTTGATTCATTTAAAATAATAATTATTTTAATTTAAGTTGAGCTCAACCAAAACTTAGTTCAAATTGTAATTATAAAATTATTATTGAGCTGTTTGGTTGGTTCAATTATCCAATTAACAATCATAATATCGAATATTCTTGGTAAAATTCTATGCTTAAATTCTATTAAATATATCTTTTATGAAGGTTGTGTTTTAGAATAATAAAAGTAGGCTAATTTCTCAATGACCAAGAGGTTCATATTGGTGCGCTAAATATATATATTTGTGTTGATAAAATTGCTAGAATAGAAATAAATTTGATAATAATTAAGTGCTGCTTCATCAGTTATAGTGAATTTGAGTTATATCATATATTTTGGGAGAACAAAAAAAAACTATCATACATAGGAATAGTATCTTCAGAAAATCTTTATTCTTCAAAGACAAGTTAAAAATTGCCACCAAAGAAACTCTCACACAATAGTATGTTGGACTAGAGTTGTTTGCGCAAGAGTGAAAATAATAAACATCATAGAAAACTCAGAATTAGCATAAGCTTAGCACATAGGCCCCAAATCAGAAATTCACAAAAACTTACCCGTCCACTAACATTATGCTTCTTCCCGTAAATACTTTTTTTTAGAGTAAACCCATATAGAGCCTATGCGCGCATTGATTAAAAAAAGGATTACAAGTCCTTAGAGGGTCAAATAACTCACTAACGCTCAAGAAGCTACAATAAAAAAATCAAAAGAAGACCTAAGAGCCAAAGAACCCTATCTACTACAAAAAAAATAATAAAAACAAAGAGGAAAAACGGAAGGCTACAAGAAGCCAAATCCAGAAGTAGTCCCAAGCTAAAATAGGAGTTCAACATAGAAGACAAAATACCAAGCCACCAGTAGGAACACTGAATCAATCCAGCAACACATTTGACCGAGGTACCAATCCAAAAAAAGATAGCACAACATATGTCTGCACAAACGAACTGATCAACAAAGCAACAACCGATACCACAAAGGATCAAAACAACCTGCAAGAAACTGAGGAAATTAAAGCAAAAGGCCTCGAAAAGACTGATCAACAAAGCAGCATCCGATCCCACAAAGGATCCAAACAACATGAAAGAAACTAAGGAAAGGCAAGAGGCCACGAACAGATGAAAACCAACACCTCCAAATGGTCAAAATTAAGCACCAAAACATAACACAAAGAAAGATCTATAAACCATAAGGAGGAATAGAGGATAAAGAACAGACGAAACAGGATCATAAAGACAACTGATCAGCAACACCAAAAAACACCAACTAGTAGAAATTCATCATAAGGAAAAGCAATAAATAAACCGAAACCACCACAGTAATATCACATAAGGAAAATACACCCATTTGAATAAGACACGACAATAGAAAAGGAGAACTGAAGTAGATACAACAAATAGCTGCACCAATACTCATTTGTGTTTCAAAGAAGGAAAATCATGCTTGTCAAATCTAATCATCCCTTTCAACACATTAAAATCAGCTATATCAGTATAGAGTTCAATATTCTGAACATAAACACCCTTCCTAGCCAACCAGTCAGCACATGAATTATCACATCTAGGGATATGAGAAATAGAACACTCCACTTTCTTAAATAATTAGCAATATGTCCAAAGATGTAGAATAAAATAGAGTTATTGCAAAAAAATGTTCTTTACAAGATTAACCAAAATTAAAGAATCTGATTCAATCTAAATATTATTGATAGTAAACTGAGTACAAAACTTAAGCCCAAGTACGTAACATAGCAATAGCTTCAACAAAAAGAATATTGCCATTAGAAACATGAGCAAAAAAGGTAAAAACCATATCACCATCATTATTTTTAACAATAACCCCACAACCAACCCCATCTTTATTAAGAGAACCGTCAGTATTTAATTTAAACTGATTTAAGGACGGTTTCAGTCAATAGACCACACTTAAAGTTGTCTAGCACATCCTTGTTCAAATTTAATCTGAAAAACTTTAGCCTAGGACAAAACACCTTTGAAATGCTCAGGAAGAAGTAAATTAGAATCAAACATTTGATGAATTCTTCCCATAAATACCTGTGCCTCATCAATGCAAGATAAATCAAATTCTATAACAAAGTTATAATATATAAATTCTATCAAGTGACAATTTGCTATGAAAGAAGAGATAGATTCTCCTCATAAGAGTAACACTTTGACACAAATTGCAATGTCCAAAGATAAGGAGATGTTATAAAATAAATAGTATACAAAATGAGGAATATCTATGAGCTAAAAGGTACAAGACAAGCATCTTGCTAAGAATTATAGCAACAAAAGAATTATACTACAACAAATTGATGCCAAGACTACTTTCCTCCATGATGACCTGGATGAAGACATCCATATGGTGCAACCTGAAGGCTTTTGTTAAATCTAAAATAGAAAATGCACAAACTAAATAAAACTTTTATGACATGAAACAAGTCTCTTTCATAGTGCAAAAAATTCAATAAATTCATTCATACTATTAAATTATACATCTACAATGTAAACCAATGTTATTATGTTAAATAAATACAAAAATATTGTAATATTCAACTAGTTTATGTTGATGAAATGTTAATTATAGGAGTAAATATTCAAAAGATAGAAGACATAAAGAGGCACTTGTCCAATAAGCCTAACATGAAAGATTTTTAGGAAGCTAAATGAATTCTTGGGATGAGAATAGATCTCAACGAAGCCATCAAAATCTTAAGATTTTCACAATCATAGTATATTGAAAAGATGCTAACAATTCAATATGACAAGAAAATAATATAAATACTCCACTTGGCAGCCACTTCAAATTTTTAAAAGAAAATATGACATAAACTAAAGAGAAAATGAAGCCGATGACCAAAGTCCCTTATGCTTTAGCCATTGAATCAATCATGCATGCAATGATATAAAAGATAATAAAAATAAGATATTGCACAAGCAATGAAAACAATTAGCAAATATATGTCTAATCTATAAAAAGAGCATTGGGATGTTGTCAAGATGATATTGCACTATCCTAAATGTGCAATCAACTATATATTCTCCAAAATTTTAAATAAATAAATAAAACTACTGAAGAAAGATACACTATTTGCCACTTAAGTTTTATTACTTTATATATGGTTGCACTGAAGCCAACAAGAAGATGGCTTCACAATACAGAAAAATCACCGATTATCGGTAGATTTTTTCGACGGAAATTGACGAATTTCAAGCATAAATTAAGATTTAGGAAGACTATCTGACGAATATTTTTCCGCCGGTAAAAGCCACGTAGGAAACGACAACTGATGGCTAATTAATTTCTGGCGGCAATTTTTTTTTTGGCAAAATAATGCCGCCAGAAATTAAAAAAACTAGGCTGCCCACTGCCCGCTGCCCTCCCGCGCTGCTTGCTAGCCTCCTGCGCTGCCTGCCAGCCCAGCTGCTCGCTGCACTGCCTGCCAGCTCGGTTGCCTCCCGCGCTACCCACTGGCCTCCCTCGCTGCTCGCTGCCCGCCTGCCTCCTACACTGCCCGTCAAGCTGCCTGCCAGCCCGGCTACCCAGCCGACCACGCTGGGATTTGAAATGAGTATGATTTGAAAACCCAACCAATTTGCTAGAATGACAAAAGTGTTTAAATGTCACATTTTTTATTTAAAATATAAGAATTAAAATTCAATGGAAAAGCCACCGGAAACATTACCGGAACCAAAGCCACCGAAAAATCTATAGAAAAATTAGTTGGACATATTCCACCGGAAAGCCGTCGAAAAAATCCGCTGGTAATGAGCGATTTTCGAAGAGTGTCATAGAAAGGCTTCACAAAAAAATTGTAAGAAAAAGCTTACTTCTTTTGTGATAAACAAAGTACAATTCAACTGGGAATTCAATCTGGAAAGAACAACAACTTTCACCGTCAATTAAAATACATACAACTCAAATGTCATTAGCTATGCAACTTATTTGAAGTTGATGCCCTAAAACGGTAATAATTAAAAGAGCATAAAACTTCATTGATAAACTCACAAATAAGTTAAGGCTTTGGGAACATTAATTAACCATTATGATTAAGGAAAGGAGACGGTGCACATATAAGTGTTCAAATAGAGCCACTACGTA